ATTGTTAAATAATAAACGACAACATTGATGAAAACGGTGCAATGTGACCAACAAAACGATAATAAAATTCGGTTTAAACTAATTTTTACAGCTTTAATCTTGTCTTTATTATTATGAAAACACGAAGATTTTATTATTAAACTTTAATGATTAACTTGAAAAATACATTAATAAATTGGCAACAAGCCATCAACTTAACGCCATGTTTTTACTACTCTACTGAATAATTAACTAACTACATTATCACGTGACCTCATGTCTGTCATAAATAAAAATATTAATTTCAGATCATGTAGCGCCATCTAACCAAAGTTGTTGCAAAATAATCTTATTGTACTGTGTAGTAAACTGTAATTTAGGATGAAATCTGTTTTCTCCAACACGTCCCTCAATAAAATTATTTTAGCAACAAATTAACAAAATAAACATATTTCTTTATTTTTTACTAAATTCTAGACATACTTAACAAATTTAAAATTTCATGCCTAACGCTAACCTGAACTTTTCAAATTTTATTCTAGGCAAAGGTTTTGTAAATAAATCAGCTATTTGATCTTCAGTTTTAACATAAACAATTTTAACAATTCCTTCATCTATTTTCTCTTTTATAAAATAAAACTTAATGTCAAGATGCTTAAGTCGTTTATTATTCTCAGGACTATTGGCTAAACAAATGGCTGCTCTGTTATCTTCGTATATTTGAATTCGTTCATTAACCTCTAACTTAAAATCAAGCAAAAGTTTGCGTAGCCAACAAGCCTCTGTTACAGCCAAACTCAATGCTACGTATTCCGACTCAGTAGACGAAATTGATACATTTTGTTGTTTTTTACTGGTCCAGGATATTGTACAATTAAACATTTTAAAAACAAAACCTGTAGTCGACTTTCTATCAGTGGTATCACCACCCCAGTCTGAATCGACAAAACCTGTTAAAATATTTCCATTTGGTTTAAAACACAATTTTAACTTAATAGTACCTTGAATATATCTAAGCACTCGTTTTAATGATTTATACAAATTTTCATTGGCTTTTGATTGAAATCTACTCAATATGCTTATACTTTCACATAAATCAGGCCTGGTGGCCAAAGCTGCATACATAATACTACCTATTATTTTTCTACACAATTTTTGCAATTCTACATTATTTTCTTCTGATTGAAAAATTTTTAGATCCATGTTATTGTCAAGAGGAGTATTAATACTTTTACAATTATCCATCTGAAACCTTTTTAATACATTTTTTAAATAATTCTCCTGACTAAGCTCTGTATAACCTAGTTCTAAATTTTGTTCAATCTGTATACCCAAATATTGAGATATAACACCTAAATCTTTCATTTGAAAATTCTTGTTCAATAAATTTTTTAAATCAGTTACTTCATATTTATCAGTGCCTAAAATTAACACGTCATCTACATATAACAATAAATAAAGCTTATTTTCTTTACATTTAGAATATAAACAATAGTCATTTTGTGATCTTATAAAATCATTTTGTATCATTAAAGAGTCAAACTTTTTATTCCAACATTTTGGAGATTTTTTTAAGCCATAAATGGACTTGTTTAGTTTACAGACAAAATCACTATTATTTATTTTGTTACCTGGAAGTGACATGTATACCACCTCCTCAATATCACTATATAGAAATGCTCCACGGACGTACATCTGGTGTATGGGCTGCTTAATCATGTTTGCTACTACAAGCAACATGCGAAAGGTTGTCAACTTGGCTATAGGAGCGTAGATGTCGTATAGCTCGATGTTGCTGTCTTGTTGGAAACCACGTGCAACCAATCTCGCTTTAAACTCGCGATCACTTTTTTGTTTAAGCACCCACTTACTTTCAATCACTTTTTTATCCGCGGGCCACGGCACTTCCGACCACGTATTATTTTCTTTTAACACTTTCAGCTCTTGATCTACTGCTTCTTGCCACTTTGATGAGTTTTCACTTGCTATTGCTTCTTCATATGTGATTGTTTGTTCTGTTTCTGTGTAAAAACTTACATCGTAATCTCTCATCCACACTGGTTTTCTTATGTCTCTTCTATTTAATCTTCTTATGTTTTCTTCTTGATTTTCTTCCTCTTCTTCAGTTTCTGAGTCTATATTTACATGTTCTTGATTTTCTAGCAGTTCTTCGGGTGTATCACTTTCTGTTTCTTGTTGTAATTTTATTGTTTCTTTATTTTCTAGTGAAACAATGGTTTCTATTTCATTTTCAGGAATAAAAAAGACATCTCTATGTATAGCAACTTCATTCTTATCAGGAAAATATATGCGATAGCCTTTTACTGTATTGCTATAGCCTACAAAGATTCCTATCTCACTTTTAGCATCTAGCTTTGTCCTTTTTTGTTTGGGAATATGTACAGAACATTTTGTGCCAAATTCTCTGAAAAAAGTAATATCAAAGTCACTTTTGAACCATAATTTATGTGGGGTATCTTTCCTAGTAGAGTTACAACCAACTTTATTTAGAACAAATACTGCTGCATTCAAGGCTTCTGCCCAAAGGTTTTTATTTAAGTTTTTACTGTGTAACATTGTTCTTATGGTTTCGACTAGAGTTCTCATATCTCTTTCAGCACGACCATTTTGTTCTGGTGTGTATGGACAAGTTGTCTCGTGTATTATTCCGTTACTGTCTAGCAAGGATTTTAGATTTTTATTGACAAATTCTAAGCCATTATCTGATCTAAGTTTTTGTATTTGACAGCCTGTCTGATTTTTCACCATTTTAATAAACTTTTCAAAGTGATCAATAACTTCTGACTTGTGTTTTAGGAAAAATACAAATCTATAGCCCGAAAAGTCATCTTTAATTAGTAGGAAATATCTTGCTTGTCCCAGTGATGCTACTTCAAAAGGACCACATAGATCAGCATGCATAAGTTCACAAATATTATTGGCTCTAGAGTTACTTACTTGAAATGGCAATCTGTGTTGTTTTCCTAGGAGACAATCAGTACAACACGGATTTTCTTGTTCTTTGTATTTTATCTCATGTTTCTTTAATGTCTTTCTAACTTGTTCAAAATTTATATGTGCCAATTTTTTATGCCAGTCCGTTAAACTTTCTGTTAAATGATATTCTTCGGTCTCATTTTCAGCTAACACACTTTCCTCTGAGCTTTTGTTTTTGTCATTAAATAATTTTACGATATATAACCCATTCTCTTCTTTTTCACCTTTTAAAATTTCTTTATCATTTTTTGAGACTATGACTTCATTTTGTTTAAAAAGGACTTCACCTCCATTCTCAACAACTGCATTTACTGAAAGCAAATTTTTGCTTAACTCGGGTACTAGTAGTACATTGTTCAATATGTATTTTTCACCTACTAATTGTCCTCTTCCAACAGCTTGCATTTTTTCGTTTTTCTTAGCAACTAATATCTCACTTTTCTTGTCTACTATGCAATTAAGAATATCTGCTTTGTTGGTCATGTGAGAAGTACATCCCGAGTCAACAACAAACTCTTCACATTGACTGGGAAAACAGTGAGACAGTAATGCTACTTTATTATCATTATTTTTAGAATGGTGTGAGTGTGAATTGGTACCTGATGTTTCACCTTCCCTTTTCCTAAAAAAACAATTTTCTTCTTTATGGTTGGTTTTCTTGCAAATTTTACACATAGCCTTATTTTTGGAATAACAATCTTTGGCATAATGTCCTGGTTTTCCACATAAATAACATTTTCTTTCTTGGTTACTGTGTTTTTTATTGATAAATCCTTTTTGTCTTCTGTCTTCAGCTCTAAAGGCTACTGTTTCTTCAGTGGCTTCTTTCTGGTTAAACCTTGTCTCTTCAGCAATTAACCGAGATGTTAGATTTGTTAGGGTACGTTCACTAAGCGGTGTTGATTCCCATGCTGTGGAGAAATGTTTAAATTGATCAGGCAATGTGGAAAGAATTTTTGACATAAGCATATCATCATCAATTGTTTGATTTAGAGTTTTTAAAGCGGCAACATAGGTTTTCCATCTTACTAATATGCAGGCTCATATCGGTATTTTTTCATATCTGAAGTTGAAAAATTCTTGTAACAAGTTACATTTTGCTGCTCATTTTCTCTCTGGAAAATACCACATATCTTTTAAACATTTCATGTGAATTTTCACAATTTAAAATATGCATCATTAATTTTTATCAACTGATGTAACTATTGCTTTTTGGGCCTGAGCATCTTTCTTTTCCAGTTATTTTCTCACTGTCTACAGTTAAATTTTCTAACATATTAGTACCATCAACAATTTCATATAGGCTACTTGCCTTAAAGAAAATTACAATCTGGAATTTCCATATCTCGAAGGATTCACCATCTTTTAATTTGTGTATCAAGGATAAATCATCTGAAGACGCCATTTTGCTTCACGTTTGCCGGGTAGGTATCACAAAGATTTTAAGTTTTTACAGTTTTTAGATCACAAAGGTTTTATTTTTATGCACAAACGGGACTCTGGGTGACTGATGGGTGACTGGGCCCATAACCTGTCGTTATTATTATGAAAACACGAAGATTTTATTATTAAACTTTAATGATTAACTTGAAAAATACATTAATAAATTGGCAACAAGCCATCAACTTAACGCCATGTTTTTACTACTCTACTGAATAATTAACTAACTACATTATCACGTGACCTCATGTCTGTCATAAATAAAAATATTAATTTCAGATCATGTAGCGCCATCTAACCAAAGTTGTTGCAAAATAATCTTATTGTACTGTGTAGTAAACTGTAATTTAGGATGAAATCTGTTTTCTCCAACAAATCTAAATAAAATATCTGTTACAATCATTCGCTCTATAAAGTAACATGAAGAGCTGCTCGGTATCTTAAATTATACAACAAATTTAAACATTTTTGCCAAAATTCTATTTAGTCATGTCAATGTCGATATGATTGATGACATGCATCGGAAAATGTTTTGCGATTAATACATATTTACTTATACATATATCGAGTAAAAATTTAATTACCTAGAAATGCCTCTTCGTCAATCTCCAATCCCGGATTATCTTTCTTAACTTGTTCCATATGTTCACGTTTTTTGGCTACTTTTTTCGCTTTCCTTTCTTCGATTTCTTTAATCTTAATGTCTCTCTTTATCTGCGATTTGTAGGTTTTAAAACAATTGAGTTGTACATCAAGAAATAGTCTAAACGAAATATCAGTATACGGTTGTTCTTCTTCTGGTAATTGAATTTCCATCATTTGGCCGTGAATACAGCCTACCAATACTATATTTTCCTAAAAAATGTCATGGTAACGATGGTTATTTTAGTATCTTTTATTGTGATTGAAGACAAGACAACTATGACTGATATTTTAAACTTTAGTACACAGTGATCACAAAAAAAGAGACATACATACTGTATATGTAACATTCAAATAAATTACAGAATACCCGCACAAGCAGATTGATATCAGAAAAAAAAATATTGAATCTCAATAATGATTACTTATTATAAGTAGGGTTCCAAACCGGGTTCCCGGTGTATGTTATAATAAAATATTGCCAAAATCTCGATGTTAAATCCCGGGATTGTGTATCTCAAGAATCAACGAATTGGTTGGTAGAAATCGTACCTAAGCTTAAAAATTCGGGTCGGGACTGGTTGCAATAAAAGGAGAACACATCCCTAAAGGGGCGGCCATCACGGGTTTTCTGTCGAGGAGCAAGGGGAAAGACACCATACCTACCTGCTGAGCCTTATCCAGGCCTTATCAGAAAAAAATATGATAAAATTAGAGGAGGAGCTTCTCCGGAAATGGTGGATGGCAGAAGAAAACAGTAGCTATATTTGAATTCAAGACATCACTTCACATAAGAATCAGCATTAATGGTGCCAGGGCTCGAGAAAAAAAATGTTTTTGCATACCAGTACGTGTTACCAGTTCATAATATGTAAAAATAGGGTCTATCTAAATAGAGATTATGTTAGAGCAGACATATAGCATTGTGGTAATAGTCTAAGATATGGTGACTAAGGAAATATTGGAAGGCGATCATTATCAAAATATACTGGTCTAATTGCTCGTAAGAAATAGTAGTTTAATATAAGAATAGTAGTTAACATAAGAATAGAAAATAAGGTTTAATTGTATTTTATGTACTTACATATTCGTAATGCCAGGTTATACAAGAAACAATGTCTGTCGTTGGAATGAATCCGATTGGTGTTAAATATTTACTATGAATCTCCGTATTAACTTTAAAAACGAAAATGGTACTATCTTCTCCAGTTGTTACTAACAATGAACCTTGCTTATTTATAGACATTGCAGTAAGTTTTCTATTATGAGGTTTTATTATCTGAAAAACATTTGTAGAAATTTTTTATAGCTGTATTAATTACTATAGAAAGCTAATGAAAGAAAACGCCTTGCGTGACCATCTTCTGATGCGTGTCAAATACTCGACAGCCAGTAATGGCAGTAGTAGTAGTATTACAGTTGAGGACTGGAACCTTTGGTGTTACACAGCAAAATAAAAACACTAAATCACCACAATACACCAAAGCACTTTTACTTTTACACTGGACGCGTGTTTCGCTAACCATGTTAGCATCATCAGCAGATGATTATAAACTAAAGTACAATCTACAAGTTGTGTAGCAGTTTTCTGCGAAACTTGCGCTACAATTAAAGCGATTGCACTTGTTGCGAACGCTTATAGAATAGGGTGGATTCAGTTTGAAATGAAATAAACATTTACGGGTTAAATACTAAACACTAATATTTAATTAAAATAAGTAGTAAAAATGGTCAAGGTTTCTCTGCAGCAAATGCGAAGAACACTTAGTAGAAGAAGTTTATAGTCTTAGTTTTCAAGGCAATTATATAGTCTATGAAGCCTTTACTGGCCAAGTCAAAATAATCAAAGTCAATAATTGTTTGTTACCAGTTCCTAGTTGCTATTGTTTTTCTGGCACTTTTCACAACACGTCACTCACAATACTGAAGAACACTCAGAAGACTTACTAACTAAACTTAGACGAGTTACTAACAACACTTAGAAGAGTTACTAACTAAACAAGAAGGTACTTATTGTTGTTAACTAAATAAGGGATACAGCAAATATTTCTCTGTTTAACTACTAGAGAGAAAAACTATGCGGAGACAATGCGATAGAGTGAAAGAGAAGAGAGAGAGAGAGAGAGATATAGAGAGAACCGCGTCTTTAGCGCGAACTTAATTATCTAAAAATTATTGCGTGGCAACTTAGGCCGATGTTCAGAGAGGACTGTTTCTTTGTCGCCCTTAAGCCTCTAGAAAGTTGACCCAAAAAGGGCATTTTTTACGACCCGACAATTTTTGTAGTTCTGTGAAACAGATGGCCCCAAATAGACAGTACTAAAACATTTGCGGTTCAAATCGATTTTGAACATACTCCCCCCCTTTGAAGTCTTTGACTTTAAAACAAAAAAACTAAACGTACGCTTAAACTAGTAAGTACTTACAGACACTATTTTTTGAAATGTTTTCGCTTTGAACTTGTGACAAGTATGACAACTAATAGAAATTTTCTTAATTTCCTTTGAAAGGGCCTTTTCCTTTTTAAAAAGACTATTTAGCGGCCAATGTCTAAGTCGAATCCTTGACAATACAGTTTGCGGTCTTGCATGTCCTAATAAAATGTGTTCTCTTTTAAAGAGAAGTCTAACCACATGGTTATTTGACGGTAATAACAAAGGAAATTTTTGGTCGTACGGTATCAGTGCTTGAGATAATCTGCCTCCAACCCTAATAAGATTATCATTGTCAATGAATGGAGTTAATTTCAAAATTTGTTTGTTAGAGATCTGTTTTTCCGATTTGAGTTGAAGAAACTCTTTAGAGAAGTTTTCTATTTGTAATTGTTTAATTATAAACTGATTAGCAATTTTTAACTCTTCAATTGAAAGCGGACCAGTGGAATTTTCGGACTGAGGCTTACAGTTCTTTACAAATCGAAGTACAAAAGCAATTGTTCTTTGTAATCGCGAATAACTTGAGAATTTAGTGAAGATTACTTTCCAAATATTGTTAGTATCAGTGAGTAGTACCGTTTTTTGTTTTCTCTCTTCCACGTTGGTAGTTAGAATATTTCTGTCATATGCGTGTAAATCCATGTCGAAATTTTGGAAAAAACTTGGGCCGTTCCACCAAAGGGTTGCGTTTTCTAATCGAGCAGGAGATATTCCTCTAGAGAGTAAATCGGCTGGATTTTCCTTTGATGACACATAACACCACTTACAATCTTGAGTGAGAGTTTGGATTTGTGATATACGATTTGATACAAATACTTGGAATCTGGAAGGGTACGAGTGTAACCAGGCAAGTACTATCTCCGAATCTGTCCAAAGATTTACACTATCAAAATATAATCTTTCAATGAGTACTGAGCGAACTTTCGTTATTAAAGTGGAGAGGAGGTGTGCACCACAAAGTTCTAAGCGGGGAATAGTTATTTCTCTTATAGGTGCAACTCTGCTTTTAGAAGTATTAAGGAAGCATGACACTTTCTCGTTAGGATATAAAGCTCGTATATATACACAGGCACCATATGCCTTTTGACTAGCATCCGAAAATCCATGTAGTTCTAGTGATATTGGCTTATCAGCTAATAGAATAAAACGAGGAATTTTTAGAGATTTTAATAGCGCCATATCATGAATATAAGATTTCCAATTTATAAGAATATCTTCTCCTAAAAAATCATCCCAATCAATTTTAGTTTTACAGATTTCTTGCATGATTAGTTTTCCTATAACAATAACTGGACCAATTAATCCTAATGGGTCAAACATTTGAGCTATTTTTGAGAGAACTTCGCGTTTAGTAACTTGTTTTTCTTCCGAAGGTATCGGTAAAGATATAGAGAATACATCCAAATTGGGGTTCCAAAATATTCCTAGAACTTTGTTTGAAATTCCATCTACTTTAATATCGTAATTTTCTTGAGAAATATCAGATTTGTGAGAGTGATTAATATTGTTGAGAAGTGAATTTGAGTTTGAACACCATTTGTGTAAGTGAAAATTTCCTAATTTACATAATTGCATCAGTTGACGGTGTAATTCGACAAGATTTTCATATGAATCTTGGCCACAGAGAATGTCATCTACGTAACATTGGGAGAGAAGAGCATTTGAAGCAAGTGGAAATGTTTTTTGATTAATAACAGCAAGTTCTTTCAGTACTCGGGTAGCTAAATAAGGGGCACAGTTAGTGCCATATGTAACAGTTGATAATTCTATACACTGGAGCTTTTCACACGGTTTTTCCCGCCATAGGATGTTATGCAGATATGTATGCTTCGGATTGATTCTTACTTGCCGGTACATTTTCTCGATATCAGAAGTAATTACATATTTAAAGGTTCTAAAGCGCAGCAGAATATCGTACAGGTCAGGCTGTACTGTGTACCCTTTATACATTATGTCATTAAGAGAGAGACCAGATGAAGTTTTCAGCGAACCATCAAACACAACTCGAAGTTTACTGCTTTTACTGTCATTTCGTATAACACAGTGATGAGGAAAGAAATACTTATTTTCGTTCTGATCACTCTTCATAGAGAGGGGTACAATACGAGCGTGATTTAGGGAAATATATTCATCGATGAATTTCTTATACTGAAGAAAGAGATCTGGGTTTTTCTCAAATCGTTTCTCTAATTGATAAAATCTTTTTCGTGCGAAATCAAATGACTCTCCTAATGTCCCGTTCGCATTAGGACCTTTCAGTGGTAAATCCACCTGAAAATGACCACTATCCAATAAAACCTGTAGTTTTACAGAAATTTTCTTCCACTAACATATCTTCGGGAGCTAAATATTGATTTTTTAAGGGCTTGACTTCTTCTATTGACCAAAATCTTTCCAACAGAAGATCTAGAGGGGTCTCTGCATTTGATTGCAGGAATAAACATTTTTTGGGGTTTAAGGTGTGATTAAAATTCGTGCTAACAATATGAGAGGGGATCAGACCCGAGAGGACGTAACCAAAGTGAGTATCCACTAGTGAGAGACAATCATCATTTATTTTTATTATGTTTCCTAAGAGAATCTTGTAATACACATCGGCTCCTAATAAAATATCTATTTTAGAGGGTTTGCTAAAACTAGGATCAGCGAGAGGGATTCGATCAGGAATTGCCAACTTTCTTTCATCAATTCTAAACTGAGGAGAGTTTTCAGTGATTTTTTCTAAGATGCTGAAGTTTACCAAGAGAGAAAAATTCCGTTCTATTGTAGATTTTACGTTTAAACGCACGGCATTATGAGCATTTCTGACGTTGCCACCAACGCCTACAATTTGAACATGCTGTCTCTCAGGAATGTGTTTTAACCTTTTTACAAGAGATTCGGTGATTATTGAAATAGTGCTACCAGGGTCTAATATCGCCTTTGCAGTTATTAAATTGCCGTCACAATCTGGGATATTAACAAGAGTTGTGCCTAACAAAACTTCACTGTCATTGGAGGAAAATACTGATAGAGTTCTATGACTAGTAGCAATAGGTTCACTGACCTGAGTGTGGCTGGGAGTGCTTTTAACTATACCCTCATTGTTTGAAGCTGCTTCGTTACGCGGATGGCTACTTTCACGTGTATTATTATCCCTTGAGCGTCCATCAGATGGCGCGAAATTTGACCTGGATGAGTAATTTCTATCACTATTGTGATATTGAGATCTTTGAGATTGATCATTATTTCGCCAATTTGGAGTTCTTGTTTGAGGAGAATACCTTGACTCTGAAGGACTTGATGAATGTAAAAGTGAGTGATGTTTCAGGTTACATATGGAGCACAGTTGAGACTTACAATCCTGTACTTGATGTTTTGAACCTAAACAGTTAAAACAAAGACTGTTCTGCCTAACAAAATCCATTTTTTGATTCAAAGGCAAATGTTTAAATTTTAAATAAGTATACATTCTATGATCGGGAAGTTTACAGTATATACATTTCTTGATATTTAACGAAGAGCGAGGAGAATTAGAATAATGCGGGGTATTTTCATTATAGGAGCGAGAAAATTCCCTTTGCTGATTTCCATGTGCATAGTGGGAAAATTTTTGAAACCTATTACTAGAACCACTTATGGTTCCTTTAACTACTGGAGGAGATATTTTCGACGGAGTTTCCGAGAGATCTTCCAAAACCGTACAGCGCTTTTCTAAAAAGTTTAGAAAATCTTCTAACTTTGGCAAAATAGGTGGAGAAGCCGAAAACATTTGAGAGCCTCTTTCAGAGATATATGCCTTTCGAGTGCCAAAGTCTAAACGTTGAGAGAAGATGTATATTAAAATTAAATCCCATTGTTGTAC